TCAGAGAGGACCGGCTGGTACTCCAGTTCGCACCTGAGAGGCACCTGCGTACTTATGACGACCCATCTCACTTTGTCCACCAGTGGTTGGTGACTCAGGGTCTGGCTCCTCATTCCCCTTTATTCGCAGCTCTTGTACACGATAACCTCCCGGATCCTCTTCGTCGTATTTTGGGAGTTCCAAACGTCCTCGAAGTTCTAAATAAAGTAAAGAGCGAACGGTCTGAAGTTGACAAAGGGATGGTCTACGACACTCTGTCGGAGTATTTGAGAACAATGGGTACAAGGAGTGCAATGGAAAAATGCAAGGGCTTATCTGGTGTTGTCTTTCCTGCGAATCCATGTGGCAAGGGAAAGGGTCTTTGACGGCCTCTGACAATTGAAATCCCATTCGGGGCTTTGTTTGCCTTCGTCGTCAACAAGCGGCCCTTGTCCCATGCAGCTGGGGGCATAGCGAGAACAACTGCTTCGAGCGCAAGCGTTTCTTTCAACCCTCGTTTAGTTGCCAACTTGAGCTGGAGCATTGCAAGAGTGGTGAGCGGATGAATAACAATAAATGAACCATTTTCCGTCAGCTTTGCAATATGGCCAAGTAACCACTATCAACTCCAAGAGCCCGGTAAAATTCACCAATTCGACAACAGCGTCATCTGTCTCCGAGCAAGTTTGAGTAGCATCGAAGAGACCCGGTTTTCAAAATGTGTATCAACTTATGGCGCAGGTATTATTGCACGAAACCATCTGGATATACGCTGAACGATGGCGAAAAACAAACACACCCTTTGCCGGACAGAAGAATTGATGGCCATCATTTGGTTAAAGAAGAAGACAATGTCTACAGGGAGAACATTCAGCATGGTTTTCAAGAGGTACCACGCAGAAAACATATCCATTGGGTCTTCAACTTGATTCGGTGCGCTCATCTGCACGCAACGGATTGCATAAACGGGCCCTGTCGAGGAGTCTTGGTTCAGATAATGGACGGAGAATGCTACTTCTGTACCGGCAACGTCGATGCGTACTTTGAGAGCCCCGACGAAGTAATGCAATCAATTCCCAGAACCATTAGGCTCCCAGGCCCCGGTGTCAATTTGGAGGCCATCCGGGCTCACAAATTCATAATCTACCGCGAGAATTACCTCCGCCAGCTACTCAGACTTTCCTTGACGGTGCTATCGAAACCTTTTCCCGTGGAAGCCGAGAGCCGGGAGTGGGAAATGGAGATCTCGTCCGCTTGGCCCGAGATCTGGTGCAAGCTGTTGCGGACACACATTGGGCATAACGTATTCCACTGCGACTGCAAGCCCATGGACGAGGTGTGGCGCGTGAACCCTGCCTTTGCCATGAGGAAGAATGAAGCAGCTCATATCCTCGAGGACATGGCGTATAGGACCGAGGAAGCTGGAACGCTCGAGGCCTTTGCCGAGGAGATTCGGGGGCATGTTTTCGATGAGGAAGAGGAAGTGTGGGAACTCACCACGGGGCCGACCGAGAGGGCGATCAACCTGGAGAATATGCACAACGATAAGCGTGACTTTCCTGGTCACCAGGTGGCGTTCGTGGGTTTGAACAGAGATACCTACGGACGCCGCCTACACAAGCTATTAGAGAGGGCGGAGCGGGCCCGCAACGCCATCTCAGAGCGAGGCTCGGACGAGTCCCAGAAACACCCATCGAGCGCGTACTGGCACTCCCACAGGATGCCCTGGCTGGGCAAAGAAGACTGGAGCCGCGCCGTGCGGCGCCGCTTCCACTTCCTCTCCTGGCTGTACAACTTCCTCGCCCTGGACGCCGGCCTGGACGAGCAGATCATGATGTACATTGGCGGCGCCCTACTCGCCGTGCTCAACCCGTGGCCGAACCCGCACTACGAGAACCACACCTCGCACCCGGCGTACCTGACCCTGGACCCCGACCTCGCCGCCGCCGACCTCATCCAGGAGTGCGTCTACTGGGTCGAGCACCACTGGCCCATTCTTCCGCACAGCACCCGACCGACCGACAGGCTCGGTCTGATGCTCAAAACGGGCCTCGATCTCTTTGAGGTGATAAACCGCAACACGGCAATTGCGCTCGCGGACATAAGGGCGCGGAACCGGTCGGCGGACGCCAGGACCACGATGTACGCCGTGCTGCCCGCGACGGCCATCGCCGACGGCTCGCCGAACTGCAATATCTGCATGTCTCCCTGGAACGAGTACCCGAACCACGAGCCCGTCATGTTGCCCTGCTGCTCGCAGTACGTTGGGCGCAAGTGCCTCAAGAGCTGGCTGGCGCTTCGGGACCTCCGCGGGGCCCGCGACAGGCGTGACGAGACGGAGGAGACGTGGGCGGCGGAGTTTAGCTGTCCCTTGTGTAGATCGAAGATTGGGGCGCATTTCTCGCCGAATATCAGGCAGGGCGGGCCGGCGGATACGAGGGATTTCAGTTTCTATGCCTGTCTACGGGCGTATGCGAATCCTGATGGGTATTGGGATAATCGACCGGCACAGTGGGGTGCTTGATTAGAGTGGCGGTTTGGTTTTTCGTTTTGGAATCATGGTTGTGACGCTGTTAAATAGACCGACTCTTTTGAGAGTATATCGAGGTGACGGGAGAAAGCTAACTTGGGGCTGGAGGTAAATTCATGTTGAGGCCTGGCTGTTGCGATGCGTAGATGTATGAGACGAGAACGTGATCCCTTTTGATCGGCGAATCCATGATGATTGATCATAAGGCATAGCCTTCCTAAAAGTTCCAAGTGAAGTTGCGAGGTGTGTGGCAAACTAAGTGTGTCTGTGGACGGAGATGTGTTCGGGTCTCTTCTAAGAAGAACGGTTCAGCCATAACTCGAAAACGTGAAACCGAGATCGACTTAAACGCACCAATTGTTGGCGAAATCCTCAGGCTCATGCTCATTTTGGATTTATAACATTCATTTCTCTTATTCTGAGTGTACTGTGCTGCCAAAGGTCTTGGCATAGAGCAGTTGATCGTGTTGGTCGTTGCGAATTATTACCCCTGATACGGACAATTGACCCAAGGCTGCAACGCCAACGGAACGGCATCGGGGACCGTGCATAAAGCGTGAATCAATATCCCAAGTCCCTTATAGCCTAAGGTAAGGACCTATGTTGCTTGCCTAGGGCGCAGACATACCGTCTCCTCTGTGGCAATGAAAAGCAAGTGGAAAATGAAACTTTCCTAAATAGACATGCCGTCGTTCGGCCGGAGCAGATATGGGAAGGCGCATCACGGTTAACATTGTTCACTGATTATGGGAAACTTCATGTATTTTAACTGTAATGCTATTGATGATCTCGCTAGGGTCGGAGATCTTGGCGTGTTGAGAGATTGATTCGGCCAAAGTTGACGTCTACCTCGCAAGTTCGTCCGGCAGTGAGTTGTAATAATTGTCCACCAGCCTAGCCTTGCACCGCAGTCCACCCTTCAAAATCTCAAAAATCCTTCCATATTTGATTCACTTCTACTCGCGATCTCCGGCCCTGCCTCCGTATTTTGACAATTTCGGCGCCATGCAATCCTGGATGCATTTATTCCACGTGAGAGCGAGAAACAGCGATGGGGTGCAGCGGAAGAAGCATTCTCCCTGTGAATTTCGTTAGCTACTAAAATAAACCTCGGGTAACATGAAATCAAGAAGTTTTTTTTCGTACATCCTGAGGTGAAGTTTATTAGCTTTCGTGTTCATGCGCAAAATGTGTTTTGTCTAGATATTTATATCGGAACTGCAGGAGAGGTTACAGGTCTGGGACTTACAATTGGAACCGTCATCGCCGAAGAAAGGTCATCGGAGATGTCCGCCGGGATAGAGAATTTGTCTTTTTGGATGGGGGAAGCTGTACTGGCTGCAACAAGCAGGCCGAGTACGGCCGTGAAGGATGTTGTAAGCTGCATTGTCGGGAATTTGTATGGGTGGTGGTGACTTGAGGAATCTTGATTTTTGGATGAAGCGTGGAGATATAAAGGAGAAAGCCTAGAATTTTGATGGATGAAGGAGAATGTTGGCTTTATACTACCAAATCCCCATCATGGTTGCCAGGACTCGGGAGAGAAGTGGACAGGTCAGTAAGGTTGATTTGCGTCGAAATTGTATTGTTTACTCGTGACTCTGAACCGATACATTGGATAACAAGACGATTGGCTTCATGAAGCTGACCTGAGGATACTTACGGCATATTATTTACGCTTTGGCGAGCCAGAGGGCGAGAAGGTATGGCAACTCCGACCTTGACAGCATCACCGGCCATCTGCCCGTCCGGGTGTTGCACCACACAACTGGTGCGTCTGGACGGCCTCAGGGGTGCCCTTTCCTGCACGATGAAAGGGTCCTCATACAGGGTGAACTTGGCGATACATGGCAAAAGGGTAATTGTGTACAGACATACTCACAGAGGGTGAACTTTCCCAAGTTTTCATATCCAGTCTACATCATGACATTTCTTTACTTCTGAGGTGATTTCAATTTGGGTCTAAGAAGACACTTCTAACATCAAGTTACTTTCTTGTTGAAGTTGTGTATCATTTTCGTAGGCCTAAAGTAATGGTCAGGTTCGAATAATCCCAATCAGCCTTGATAAAAGAAGAGAGTTGAGGCAACTAACATGTGCAATAGAAAGGGAATTTAGTATGACTCGGCGCACTTGGTATCTGTTTGCTGAACTATTAGGGTTGAACAATATCAACAGTAAACATATAGAGTGCTTGTTAGATGGTTGTGAAGTAAACACTTCCTTCAACCAGACAGAGAACAATGCCCTTGTCCCCCCTTATACATTGTTCAAGCAGAACGACCCAAGGTCGTTGCTCACTACCCAACGCCGTTTCCTGCCTGAAGTAATGAGCTTAAATAATGGGAGAATCCATTGTCAAACTCCCTGAATCCATTATACTCACACCCAAGTCCATCACACACCCCCAAACTACCTCGCCGCAAGTCCAAATACGCATCCAAACACGCGCTCAGAAACATACTAGCTCACACCCCACAAACCTTACAAAATGCATACTCTTAGCTGCTTGACCTCTCTGCTGTGCAGGGCCCAGCGCCAGGTTGAGTTTGACCAAGCTCTGGACTATGTATCCCCTCTGTCTCTACCCATAGAAGACCCTCTGGCATCATCTTCCTCCTCCTTGCTAAGCTATCGACAGCTTACAGGGGACGCCACGGTAGGCCTCGGCGAGGATTCAGAGCTGGACGGCTCAGGCTCCACATCGTCTCAGTCTGTAGACTCACTTGCTTTTGACCAAACCCAGATCGGCGTCTCTCAGTGGCTTAGAGAGGTCGAGGCCGCAACAGGTACTCTCAGAGCCCGCAACCCGGATCCAGCCTCGGCTTCACCCAGTCAGGACTTGCCTTCTAGTAGTCATGCCGGAAACCAGTCCAGATGGTCTCATTCTACAGACTCGCTTGCACATGAGGGGCCGCCAAATGACTTTTCTTTCTGGGACCGAGAGACCGAAACCGAAACAGGTAGCCCGCCATCCGAGTCCAACAGCGAGAGCATCTCTTCTAGCGGTGAGTCGACGCATGGAGAAGCTGCTGGAGACCTAGACGGTGAGCATGATACGAGAGAAATCCCCCAAGTTAACCACGTCGCTTTAGCCTTGCTGGTGAGCAGGGACGATAGTACTCTTGCCAGGCTGCACGGGGATGAGCACCCCGAATTCCACCTGCCAACTCCCGCTACGTTGTTGAGCCGTAGAGCCACCTGGCATGGGGATGAGACTGGAACGGCTCAAGCTTTGGAGGTGTATGAATATGGCCCAGGTGATGCTACAGTTGTCCAGATTAGTGCAGCCTCAGGGGCTGGCGAAGTTCCTGCCAGGAACGACCCCAAGCGCCAGGGTGGAGTTTGGGATGTCAAGTTTTGAAGGGATTCCTTCTGGTATAGGGGATGATATTGTATGCTGGATTTACTCTGGGTCGAGTTTGTAAGATCAAAAAAAGAAAAAAAAAGTCATTGGTTGGTATTCTCCCATTTGAAGGAGCCGGGTTAGTACAGTGATCAAACTGACATGTAGAAGACAAGTTGAAAAAGTTAGCCAATTTGAGGTGAGCAGATAGGATCAAGAAGTGAGAAGAGAAAGTATGGTGCCCTGTGAAATCTGTGTGAATTGTGGAAGTTGGGCTCTATGTATTAAATACACTCAAGACCGCGAGCCCAGAACCTTCCCTTTGCCTCGTGAGGCCAATGCTTTTTCGACGTGACACAATTCCAGATCTTTGTTCCCATCCCATACCCATACGCCAGAAACCAAAAAGCTTTTGTGTCAGATGAAAATCTATCAGACACCATATGAGTCTTTCTCCCTCATTTATTTACTCTTTCCAGCACCGCCGGCCGCCTTCTTCTTCAGAGCCTCCTGGTTCCTGCACCACTCGTCCCAAGCCTTCTTCATCTCCAGCTGCGTCGGCGATGCTTCCTCCACATCCCCAATAATGGCATCAACAGCAGCCCGGTCACCCTTGCTGGCGTGGAATACGCCAGAAGCAGCGATCAGGCAGGCAGGCACCGCGGCCTTGGCGTGAGACTTTGTCTCGCCGGCCTTGAGCTCAGCGTAGACGCCCTTCAGGATCTCGACTGCCTCTGGAAGGTCGGCCTCCGTCGACTTGCCGCCTCCACCAGACCTCGCCTTGCGCGCACGCTTCTGGTAGTCCTTGACCAGCTCGAACGCACGATCAGAGAGCGTCTTGATGGTCGACGTGCGGACGAGCTGCAGCAGCGGCTGCAGTATCGCCAGCGTCGTCGGGCTGCCCGCCTCGTTGCGCACAAAGATCTCGAGCAGGTCCAGCACGCGCCGTTTAAAGTTGACGACGGACTCCTTGGCGGCCTTGCGCTCCTTCTTTTTGCTCGGCGCCGCCTTTTGGCGCTGCTTGAAAACCTCGGCCAGCTTGCCGTCCAGCTCCAGCATGTCGTCGTCGCCCATGTCCGAGTCATTGTCCGATGACTCTGCGTCTTCGTCCTTGTCGAGGCGGTGGCTGTTAAGAATTTGACCGAGAGCGTCGTCGAGGTCTGCGAGGTTCTGTGCTTCCTCGTCGTCTGCCACTTCATCCGATCCGGATTCTCCTTCATCATCATCGTTCTCCTCATCATCGCCGGCCTCAAGAGCGTCGAATTCGACGTTGGAGTCTACCTCAGCGTCAGAACCGGCCTCATCGTCGGACTCGTCTTCCTCGTCCTCTTCCATGTCTTCAACGTCCATATCATCGGCGTCGACGTCAAAGAGCGACTGCTGGCCCTTGGCGCTCTCGTCGGCGGAAAGGACGTCCAGCAACAGCTCCAGCGCCTTGGGAGAGACTTTGCTACTAAAGTAGCCAAACACCCGCTGCGAGATCTCACGTAGAAGCGAAGACTGCTGGGAGACGAGTGAAAGCAAGATCTCGACCAAAAATTCCGCAGCGCCTTCCTCGTCCGTCTGCAGGCGACTCTGGTACTCCTTAAGATCGCTCAGAAGCTGGAACGCATCCGGCTCCTCGTTGTAGAGCTGGAAGATGGCGATGGCGTGAAGCAGCGCCAAGCCCTGTGAAATCTTGATCTCGTCCGTCGAGCTCTCGCTAGCGGAGGCACTCTTCTTCATGAGCTTCTCCAACCGCTTCCGTGCTGCGTTAACCTCCTTCTTCATCTCTCCCTCCATACGAATGTAGTCTGGGTTGATCGACTGCACCGCCGTGCAAAGGTAGTTGGCGTCCTCGGCCTTGCGCGAGAGCTTCGCAAAGGCCGACTGAAGCCGGCTTCTGCTCAGCTCCGTTACTAGCGAGTTTGCGTTCTCCGGAATCCATATGGGCTTGGCATATGCGAGAGACGTCAGCTCCTGAAGCGCAGGTTCTGGTGCCGAGGTGGTCAAGCGGAAGATGTATTCAATGTAAACGCGAAGGTCAAGCTTAACCGAGTTAATGTCCTTTCTGTGTAATAGTCAGCATCAAGCTCAAGTCATTCTGCAGAATAAGGAAACGAGGCTCGACGCACGATGTCGTGGAAGTCTTCATGACAGGCCCGCTAAGAACCTGGATAACATCCTCGCCGGTATCGGCCTTCACATGCTGAAGAATCTTGTCTACCGTCTTGCTCTTGGTCATGACATCGAATCGATACAGTCCATTGTTATTAATCAGGTTGTCGAGAATGATGCCAGTGGCCTCAGGATGCGCCGCAGAAGTCTCCTCGACGACCTTCAATGTCTTCAATGCTGCACGGTGAAGGAAGCGGTCCTCCTGGGATGCCTGGTTGATGAGGCATGTCATTAGATTCCTGCTGAAGAGGACGTCGAGGAGGTCGTCGATATCGGCGTAGCTCTGAAGCATCTTTTGGAAGACCAGGAAGCCCCTGAACTTTTGTCCCTCGGTGGCGGTCTTGGCAAAGAAGTTGTCTGTGATGTCTCGATTAGCCCGGTGTCTTGAAAAGCTGCGACCTTTCAATACTCACCATCAACAACTCGCTTCCAGAACGATCTGAACTCATCGACACCTGCAGGACCTTTGCGCAGGAAGTGTCGCACAATCAGGTCCCACACGAAGTGTAGTTGCGGCGTCCAGTTGGCCTGCTTGTTCTTGACATAGTTGCCCCTCCTCGACTGCTGTTGTTGCTGCTGCTTCTGCTGCTTCTCCACGTCATCCTGCCCGCTCTCCTTCAGGATACCCGCCAGCTCGCCCAGGTTTCTCGAAGAGAGGGGGTGGTGGTGCTTCGCCTTGTCGCCGGTAGTCAATTCGGGGCACTGCTCGAATGCGACAAGCCAGATGCCGACACCCTCGGGGGTCTTGGCCCAGCCGAGCTCGACCAGCTGCTGCAGCACCATCTCGACGCGGGGACGGTCCAGCTGCGCCAAAGCCTGCGCAACGACCCATCCGCACTGCGGCCGCAGCCAAATCTTCTTGCCGCCCAGCTTGACGAGTAGTCTGAGAATCTCGTTCCATCTGTCCGGGCCCTCCTCTTCGAGAAAGAGGATTCTCGCGCGCACGAAGCACTCGAGGCCAAATAGCTGTCCAAAGTACAGGTCTCGCTCCTCCTGGCCCGAAATGTTACCTCCGAAACGCGTCCTCTCCATCAACATCTCCAGCACCTTATCAAACGTCAGACCGGGATACTTGTCGCGGCACAAGTTCCTGGGCGGGCCGAGGAGCTGGCTGAGGATCTCAGTCAAGACGACGCTGTAGCCCAACCTCGACGCCGCTCTACCGCTGGCAAGACCACGGAATAGTCGCCAATCGAGATGTCTCGTCAAACACGCCTCCGTCACGCCCTCATCGTCGAGAAGACTAGAAATGATGGCGCCAGCGGCCTCGAGGCGATCCATTTCGTTCTCGCTGCTGAGGAGGTCGTACAGCTTTGCTTCGCGAACACGGTCCTTGCCGGTCGAGTTCTCGACAAAGAGCTTCTTCTCCAGCAAGATCTTGGGCAGTCTAGTGCCATTGGAGCTGGTAGTGGCGTCGGCGACATCGTTCGAGTCCGGGGAATTGCTGCCGTCGGCCGATGCGTCGTGGGAGGATTTGGCGCGCTTGTTGGACTCGGCGGCCTTGAGGGCCTCTCTCTCGGCGCGCTTGCGCTTTGCGCTCGCCGTCTTTGTCATTGTGTAGGGCGTTTCCGTTCTATTGCGCTGGAAATCGTCGAGAAAATGGAATAGTAGATTATCGTGGAAATTGGCGAGATTTTCTTTTTCCTTTTGGCGTCCTTAGGTCGCAGAGCGCATACACTGTGATCGCTGCCAGGATCTCGTCCAAAAAGTTTGGAGCGTAAAAAGTTCTGCCAAATGTTACCGCCCGACAAAAAAAAACGGCTTTGACTTCACCTCACCCACGCCCCGCCGATGGTGGGGGTCCCTGCAGGTTTCCACTATTACCCGCGAAAGATCCACAACTCAATCCTGTGCCAGAAATTGAGTGTCACAGTGAGGTGGTGACATTACCTTGTGATGAGGTAGCTTTGAGGGAGAATTTCTCTACTCTCATGTTCCACACTTCTCCTACTGCTCTCCTAGTTTTGATCATCTTATTTAACGTTATCTCAGACAGTAATATGCACATCTGTAACTTCGCGGTCCCGGGCGTGAAGCTCGCTCATCGGCAGCTTCATCCAGCGTTCCAGTATGTGTACTTGACCGGCTGTTCTTTCACAAATATCTGGAACCTGGCTGACTATTACACTCCGAACGAGGTATTCAAATTGTTTCACGGTATGTCTTTATGCGTTGTTCACTATTTGTTCCAAGATTGGTTGTCTCATACGATCGTGGTCCCCAGGTCTCAGGCTCAACCTGGTCCTGAAGGAGGACAGAGTAGTGAAAGTGGATTTAGATGTTTAGAAGAAAGATACCATGAAGCAACTGAATGATCTCCTCTACTTGAATCTCACTGGTACAATCTGACTGAGCCATCGACGTCGCGTCCAGTTTCACGGCAGAGGTAACAAACAAAGAGCATGTCCAGAGGGTCTATTTCTCCATCGATCGAGGCATAGAATATGTATATACACCATTTTCCTGGAAAGAAAAATCAATGAGGAGCATAAGGACGCTGGAAAGGCAATTATCTGTAGGAAAACTGGGCCCAGACTGGTTCGCAATGACTGCAAGTGGGCGGCTGTTAGGTGAGCGTATATTCCATGCAAGTAATCTGCTTCGGGGCCTGAATCACTGAAGAGAATCGCGCGAAGCCCCCATAGGCCATCAGACTGCAACAAAGGGCATGAGCAGCGCCTGAAGTGTATATGGCCTAGTGGAGGAAGATAATGCCTGGTTTCGGCAAGGAACGCAAGTTCGAATTTGGTGGCCCTACATAATGCCACAGGCAGCTCATTTTTTTGTAATTTTGCTTCTTGCAGATCTCAGTACGACACTCCAAACTCAGTGATCAGACGAGAAACATTACGTTGCGAGGACAGACATAGATGGCTAAGGAGTACCAAGTCGGATAACCTCCAGGGAAAATGAGAAGTGGCCATTATTCCCCTGGACGTCAATCTTTGATATGCCAGCAGAATTTTCGAGGGCAGGCCTGCGAGACAGAGTTGAACCTCGAAATCAGTCTTGCCTATCTCTCCTAAGTGAACTGGACGTCTATTGACATAGCCTGTCTAAGCCGCTCTTCTCTATTGGACCTCAACCTTTCAGAAGATCGAAGATGGCAGCGGGTCAATTCATAACCCCCTGTTTTTTTGCATCTTCAAATGGCTTCGCTTACTTGATAGACGTTATCTGCCTCTATTCCCGAAAAACCGTCGAAACGGCTCAGGATACTACTCACTGATAACGTCTTTCTCCTCTTCATGACCTTCAATCTCCGTGCTCGGCGGGAGGGGCTCCGATTTGGCTCGCCAACAGCCTATCTGATCAAGGACTGGGCGTCAATAACCATTCAATGTAGTTCCATACGACATTTCCATGTCATATCACCCAATCCGCCGTCTTCATTATCAGTCTCGTCCATGCCTTGGAAGCATGAATAAACTTGAGCAATCACCCAATACCTTCCTGTGGATATGTACCCATTCGGCTCCTACCACTATGTGAGGTCACATCCCAAACCTTCTCTCGCAAGTTTCTTAAACTGCACACATAGCTCGAGCTATACCTCGTGATACCCCGTTGTCGTTGGCTCGTTTGAAATGTCAAGTTCCCTCCCTTGAAAAAAGACCCCTCTAATATTTCTTCGAATAGACTTGGTATCTTTTGAACCCAATCACAAAATGGTAAGGCCTCAACTACAAGTGGTGAAGATCGGTTGGTCTATATTACTTCATATACATGGGACAGTTTCCCCTCAAACATACCTCTCCATACTTGCTCCGGTCCGCAGTTGGTAATTGCCCTCCACAAAACGAGTCATAAGAATAGCGAGCTAGAGAAGAAGATGGGAGACAGGAGAAGAATATCCTTCACATGGACGTTGAACAATAGTTAAAGACGTATCTCGAGGGAAGAGTAAACGCCTCTCGGCAGACACCTCTTGTGCCTCGACCACGTTGCCCAAACATAATCTCATCCCAGGAGTAAAAGCAAAGGAAACCTCAACATCTACCTGCTTCTGTTGGCAACCTCGGTGCTGTGCCCTGGTGCCTGGGCAGTGGCTCTCAAAAAGAACGATCCAGCGAAAGGCAAAGGCAATCTCCCAGGCAGGTTTGAGCACATTATCGACGCGTGCTTAAGAGCAACATCAGCGCTACTGACATCAGCAGACCAAGCCGGTGACTTTTATTAAAACCTTGACGCTATTCGAAAGACTCGTCAAACCAGACATTCGTAATCTCACTTGACAGGATTCATCAACTCTCGCACGGGTGAAGCAAGTTTGGCAGGGCAGTGTCCCCTTACAATGCACCCCATACAAAACATGCTTTGAATACCACACAGAACAAGAGCCTAGCTACGTCTCCGCAAGCGAGACCATGAACAAGAAGGAAACTCAGCCCCTGGAAAAAGTACGAGCTGAAATACATTTGCAGGTTCGGCATTCATTCCTGTTACTGTATCAAATTGCCACAGATCTAGTACTGATATGCCCTAACTTAAACCCAGGCACATTCGTCACAGAGAGCCTCACGGGATGCTGACATCCCACAACCAGACATCCACCACGCCGAAGCCATACCGCTCCAGGTCCGGAACCAGTCTGGACAGATATATTCACCCAGCTCAGTCCTCGACAGCCGAGTTTAACGGCAGCATACACCACGAAAGCTACCGACACCGGCCTCAAGATCAAAGACATCCGGTCAGGTTGACGGTCCTCCTGAAGATCTAGCCGCAGCTCGAGCAATTCGCATCCCCCATCATCCAAACCGCAATTCCAAACCAGGCAAAAAGCTCCCAACGCCAATCTGAGATCCCTTTCCCTCACCAAACGCTCCCATCCTTCTTTCACCTTTAGCCCGTACTCTCACGATATGGCACCGCGCTTATCTAGACAGACTCAGGGGCCGGGATGGCAACAGAATCAACGGTCTCAGGGGTAAAGGGCAACGTGAAGAATACTAGCAGAAAACAACTACCCAAAACGTAGTCTATTTCGAAACTCCTGATCAGCCTCCGGCAACGGGAACTAGGCATGTTCTTCCAGAACGATTGATGCCTATCCAGGACAAGCAGACATACATCACAGCCCCAAATACCGGCCTCACCCCTCTACGAACACACCTCACTACTATACTTAGAGAGACACCAGATTCTGCTCAAGCCAGCCGCCCATCCCCATCTCTCTTCAAACACCCCTAGAGTGCGCCATCCGCCCACGCTCAAGATGGTATTCCTTAGGTCGCATACAAGATGCTGATGCTGATCCAAAATGGGACTACCAACAAGCCGCCCCAAAACCATGCAGAACCAGACTCTTACCCTCCCGTAACCACATCGTACCATCTTCCACTCGCTCCCGCTTAGTTCAGGGGGAAGCAGCAGTTCGCTAAACCCATCGGGTTCGTCATCTTTCCATCGTCCAGCCTGCCGCCATTCCAAAAAGCCGCCCGTCACAAAGCCGCCCGTCACGCCGCCACCCTTTTTTTTCTTTGTCTCAACCCCCGTGGGGGGGAATGCTTAGATGTTTTAGCTCGGAGGGCGCCATGCCCGTTTTATATCGACTACTCTTCCCGTCCACAAGAGCCTTACCTACTTTCCTACTCAAAATGCCTTACCAAGGGAACTAGTTAGGAAAAAAAAGGCTTCCCGACTTCGAGCCAAACGAACACGCCACAAACGCATGTTAGTCGAGTGGCGCCGTCACCGAAGAAAAAGAGTCCGTCCCAGCGGGACCGCAAGCCACCCCAGGTCCGACTGTCCGACGTTCAACGGAACTACTCAACAAGTCGAGACGAACAAAGAAAACAGGAGAAAAAGGGTTTGTAACACGCTCACGCGGTGTCCCTGAGAAAAAGGGGTCTGCCCACCTACATACCGCATCATCCGCAATGACAAAACGGCCACCGGGGAGGAATGTTGCGGACATTAGGTCGCCGCCGCCGTCAGAAACACCTTTGCACCAACGCGAACTTTGAACGGCGGCTCGGCCGGCTGGTCGGTTTATACCGGCGCGGGCGTAGCGGTCTCGCCCGATCTGTTTCGTTGCTTGTGTAGCCTGGCAAGCCTGGGCAGTGGGAGCCCGGGAGGGGGAAAAGGATGTTTGAAGTCTCGGGGATGTGGGGGAGGGGAAGAACAAGATAGTCAAGGGCCCAAAGGCTCCAGAGGCGAGAGAGACAAGTGAGCACGCAAAAAAGACCCTGATGTTCTTCCTGAAGCCGTCGCGGCAACCGTGGACAAGCCCATCGGACAATTATTCGCCTCTGGAGACGCGACGTGGGTGGCTCGAGACTAGGGTAGCATTCGCCTAGCAATGGCGCGCGGAATCAATGTGACTGGCGAGTTTCGGATGCCTTGTTGGTTTGGGATGTGTGAACATCGTTCAAGGCATTGCGTTGGCTCACACTCTCAGACGCAAGAACGGCGGTGGAGAGCCTATTCCGGAAGCTCGTTCATCCCGACTTGATCCTGTGGTGTTGGCTCAGTTGTTGTCGGTGGTGATGCTGTTGCTAGCATGCTACTGCTACGGAGGACTGCTGCTGCTTCTGCTGCTACTGCGACAT